TCACTGCAGAATGAGAAACTAGAACAAAATCTTTTTCTTGACTGCGGAAATGAACTAACTATTCAAGGAGCTGTCACAGCAATGCAATTGTGTGAAAATGAAACCAAGTCTGGATTCCTGGCTACTAAACGTTCTATCAAAACGAAGAAGAAGAAGAAAATTATTTGTGCAAGATGTCAGAAAGCTGGCCACAAATCTCCAAACTGTAGAGCACCAACTCCTGTTTCAAAAGGAAATTTGGCTCAAACAGAATCTGATAGTGATGAGTCGTCTGTCTTTACTGCAGTTTACTACGGAAATCTTTCTCACGAAGAGGAAACAGTTTCAAGTTCAACTCACGTTGCTAACATATCTCAATCAGCTGATACTGAAATCTATTGGATTGACAGTGGTGCATCTGAACATGTCTCGAACAACAGAAATCACTTTACAGACTTTCGTCCAACCAATGGATATATTTCTGGAATAGCATCTGGTGTGCAGGTGATCGGGAAAGGAACTGTTGTCCTATCTAAAGGACACAAGACAGTGACACTCAAAGATGTTCTTTATGCTCCACAATGTCCATCTAACCTGATTGCTATTAACAAAGCTGTGCTTGCTGGTAAGAAGATTAAAATTAGTAACAAGGAACTATGGTGTGGTAAAGATTTATTAGGAACTTACCACCATCAGAACAAGCTGTTCAAATCTACATACAAAGTGATGTCTTCCTCTTCTTCTTATTCAAAGGCATATAAAGCCTCAGTATCAGATCTTCATATTGTAATGGGACATCCATCGAAGTCCATCTCTGCAAGACTCCAAATTCCAAATCCTCCTCATCTATGCCAAGATTGTCTTGCTGGAAGATTTGTCAAATCCAAACCAAAGATTTCATCTACGTCTGTGTCGAGACCTCTCGAACTCTTACATGCTGATATCTGTGGACCTTTTCCGCACACAGGAATAAATGGTGAGAAATACTTTCTGGTTATTGTTGACCGATTTACACACATCACCGCAACATATTGCTTAAAGGCCAAATCAGAAGCCACAGATCTTATTCAGCAATTTATTAACAAAGCTGAGACACAGTTGTCATCTCATAATTACAAAGTTATTACCTTGCGTACTGATAATGGAGGCGAATTCGTTAATAAGTCTCTTGAAACCTTTCTTGCATCCAAAGGCATCACGCAAGAACTAACAGTTGCCCACTCCAGCCATCAAAATGGAGTTGCAGAGCGTATGAACCGAGTCATCACTTCAAGAGCCCGCATACTTCTTTCAAGCTCAGGATGTCCTGCATCCTATTGGCCCCTTGCTGTTCAAATGGCCACATATCTTGTCAATAGAGAACCCAGCAGGGCTATCCAATTTGAGATACCATACTCGCGTTGGTTCCATAAATCTCCTGATTATTCTCGGTATCATCCATTTGGATGTAAAGCATATTCACTTATTGATTCTCATGAGCGTCCATCAAAGTTTTCCTCTGTTATCTCGCCACTAATCTTTGTTGGATATAGTAAACG